AGTCTACATCATTAATTTAACAAATTAAATGTTGATATTATAGTTCCTAAACAGGTGTTTCAACTAATTATGGCATCAGTGGCAGAGGGAGGGAGTTGCGAGGGGAGGTGCTAGCCCCTTGAAATTTGAAAATATTTATAAATTAATATATAAAAAATAATTTATAAAAATAATATTTTTAAATATTATAATTAATTATTAAAAAAAAAACTAAAATGATGTAATCTTAAACAATTTTATGTGTAGTCTTAGTCATGACTATTCCCATTATTTTGAAGTAGAGGGGGCACCCTTTTTTTATTTTTTAATGAAACTGTGATTCACCCACTAATAAATGAGTAATTATCACGTGAGTTAATAATTTGTTGGTTTAAATAAAAATAATTTAATTTTTTTAAAATAAAAATTTAAATTTAAATCATATAAATGAAAAACTTATCTTTTAATGAAATCTAATACTATTTAATTTTAAATTACTTAAAATTTAATATAATTGTCAAGATATTAATAAAAAAAATATTATACGCATAGCAAGATTAAAGTTCATTCCTATTGGTATATGTACCAAGTGGAAATTGAATGTGAAGTCAGCATTATTCGACCACGGTCCCACAGCTGCAACTTGGGGAGTTGGAACAGAGAGGAAAATGGGAAATGGAACAAAAGTAAAGTGGTACACCTCCATTCCATTATTTCTAATCTTTTGTACTCATTTCTTGTCCAATTTGACAATTCTCTCGGAATGTCTATCTCCATTGAGTACATAAAAGCTGTTGCACGTTTCAAATTAACATTCCTATTTAGGATGATACAATTTTCCTTTTTGTTTTTTCTTTCATACTCCTTTATTTAAACATACAGATAAAAACTACAATAATAAGTGAGTCTCTTAATATTAAGTTTTTTTTTTTTCATAAATAATTATAAAATATACTACTCGCTTGACAATTTCTTTTGATTTTAAAAATTATTGTGAATATTTAATTAAACAAAAAAATAGATATCAATATGTATTATAAAAAATTAAGTAAAAAATAATTTAAAACTAAATCATCTTAATAAAGTCTTGTTAAAAAATTAAAATATCATTATCATTTTCAAAGTAAAAAAATGGATATTTTAATCTTTTTATAGTATTTTATTAAAATAATATAATTTTAAATTATTTTTATTTAATTTTTTATATGTTGGACTGATGAACATTAATTTCGTAAAACTGGTAATATTAATACAATTGATTGATTTATTATTTAAAAACCAACAACTCTTTGGTGGTGGAAATCTGAATTTTTTTTTCCACTAAGACAAAGGCGTTATTTATTTATGCTTTAATTTTGTTTGATGATTGTCAAGAGCGTGGTAAAAGGCAGCTAACCTCCATTTGAAAAATATCATCCTCTACTCTTTCTTATACAATTCTCTCGTAGTTAATCTCTTCTTCATCGGGCAAACCAGGGAAATGTAGAACTTGCCTTATAAAGAACAAAAATACCAAAGAAGAAAAAAATAGTAATAATTTATTGATTTGGATTGAAAAAACTTGATTATTTTTAAATAAAGTTTTAAGTTCAACTCTTATAAATAAAAAGATAAATTTTTAAAAAATTTTCAATTCAACTTCACTTTGAATTAGTAAGAATTTACTAATGGAGAAACAAAATTTGTAAAGTCATAATATAAAAAATGTTATGTT